GGGGGTCTGCTTCTCCCTCTGATCCTCTTCCCTCTCGTGCTCTCTGTCTCTCATTCTCTCTCTCTCAAATAAATAAATAAAATCTTTAAAAAAAAAAAAAAGAAAAAGAAAAACACTGATACTTAACTTTAATTATCTTCCCCAAATGGTTATGGGCAGCCTCTTGTCCCAGCATGAACTCCTGAGTTAAGAGTTTATCTAGATTTTTTTCTTTGACTCTTCAAAGTCAACTTTTTTTTTTTTAACCTAATGTGATTTTCATTCGTGCTATTCACCAAATATTTCTAGTGTGTGGTCGGTCATATGACTATTTCCTGGCCAACAAGTTGTAAGTGAAAAGTAACTTCTGACTTAGATCATTTAAATGTTGATGTGAGACACTTTAGAACCTTCTTTTCTCTCTGACATGGTGATGATTGCTACATTAGGCAGGGCTCCTGAGGGACTGTGAACAGAGCCTCCCTGTTTATTTAGATGGACATGCAGCGTAAGGAAGAAATAAACATTTTTATTTTAAGTTAATGCAGTTAGGGAATATCCCATCTGATACAGGATTAGTCCTGAAAGTGCCACAAAAAGAAACAAAACTGTACTAAATTAAACTCTCTTGCATTGGTTTAGATGACAGATGGTTAAGTTACATGAGGTGATCCACATTCTGCTATGGTGAAAGATTTGGTAAACTTGCCTGTGATACTTGGAAGAAAAATAATATAGTGAAGTTGTATCTCTGTTGGAAGGGTTTGGATAACAATTTTGTTTACTATATTAGTTGCATTTGACAAGATATTTTAAGAAGTGAACCCAGATGAGAAATGGTAAGATTGCCAGTGGAAACAGAATAGGAAAAGTCCAGAAATTTAGATACTTGAAGGGTTGGAAGAGGCAACACTTCTCATCCCCAATCAGTAAAAGGAGAAAGCCCTTAAGCAACAAAGTAATTAAATCAAGAATATAACCATCATACTAATTGTTTAAAAGACTAATTAGGTTAAGGAGAGGCCGCCTCATAGTGTTTCTATGCAGGAATTCTTCCACAGCATTTCTTGGGAAATTTATGTATTTTTCTGAATCTCATGACAAATCAGTCAGGAAATTGGTGAAACAGGAAAAAGTATTGCAACTAAGCAAGATTAAAGCTTAGTAATGAATTTAGAGTCATTACTGGATTGAAGGAATCCACTGAAGTCAAGCCCAAAAGCAAGAGTCCAAGAGTAAGGGCAACATTTCCAGAAATCAGAACAGGAGGACATAGAAGAGGAGTGGTCACAATCTGATGACACAATCTTACTTGTAGCTATTGCCATGTTATAAATGTATGTTTATGTTCCTGTCGGCTACTAACAGTGAGTCATTCTTGTAAGTAAAATAAATGTTAATAGGATTATATATAGTATAATGTATGCAAATCTCATCAATGGTGTTCCAAGAATAACACGTGGAAGCAAATTAATTCCATAAATTGGC